AGTTTGTCACAGCCCCTCGTTTGTTGTCCTCTTCTCCCTCTCTGCCTACGGTTTACCGGGCAGTTCTATTTGACAATATATATATATATATATATATATATATATATATATTTAACCTATTATTTAATTCAGGAAATTTCTGGTAAAATCGGGTCCGTGGTGCGGACCAGGTCGGCCGCGGACACGGCCCCATCTGCGTCCGCCATCCGAGATCGGACCCGCGGACGCGTCCGCGGGTGTTTCACTGCCTGGGTGGACCCGCTTCCCAGCGGCACGGTCCGTGACCGTCTGTCATCTGCCTTCTCGTCGGACGTGTCCAACAGAGGTTGCAAGTGTGGTGGCAGGTGCGCGTACCCAGACCGCTCCGACGACCTTGAACTTCTCGACGGGCTCTGCCCAGCCTGCTGGCCACCACCCTGATCCCCTGCAGAGCTGCACATCCCCGTGCGCCCCTCCATACTGACGCCCTTCTTTGAAGACCGTCTTCTGCGGCCACGTCGCGGAACGATGCCCAGGACGCACACGTGGAAGACAACTAAGAGGAGGAGCAGGAGGACGACCAGCACCAGCAGCAGCAACCTCTGAAAGACGTCGGCCATGAAACGCACATGGACGACGGCAACAGCTACAAGACAACCGTGGACGTCCAGGAAACGGCGAGTGTCAGTGGTGCAAACGGCCGATCGCAGCTACCGACAAAAGCAGGGTAACGTATTCCGTCGCGGAAGACACTGCGCAATCGGGAGAGCGGGGGCCGGCTGAAGTATTCGAATCTGCCGACCGTTGGGCGCTTTCCCGCTCGTGCCGAAGGGCAGCGACGCAAGGCAGCCCCTTTTCGACGTTACAAAGGACGGCAGGCCGCCAAAGGGGACCGTTGGCAGAGTATTCCATGACGCCGACCGTTGCCGACCGAAGATGTCCGTCGACGGCCCACCAGGAACAGCAATGGACCAGCCGCATTGAAATTTGTCATCGAGAGAGCTGCCTTTGACGCCCCGGTTCTTCCGGATGCTCGACCTCCAAGGGACCTCGGGAGGACCCTTAGGGAACGCGTCCAAATGGCTGTAGCCCGAGGAATCCCCGAGGAACACATTTTTTTTTCATTTTCTTCCCCGAGGATAAGTGGAGCCATGATTTCCTTGGGGATCGAACGAGCCCCAAAATCCCAAAATGAGAGGCCAGGTCCCCTGCTTCATTTCTGGCCATCGATCTTCGTAATCTACGGTCAGCAATCAAGGGGATTGTGGTAAGTGGGAGTTGGCCTCCGGTCAGACACTAGCTGTCTAAAGTAAGCACGTGGAAAAAAAAAAGGAAAAAAAAGGAAGTATTAAGCACGTGGCCCGAAATTTCTCAAAATCAACCCAGAACTTCGAGAAGTGATGTGGCCATTTCCCAGCTTGAAATGGCCAGTGGGGGTCTTGTTGGAAAAATGGTCCAGAGTCCCTTCATGATCCGCTGCTTCCTACGTACTGCAGCAAACTCGACACGTGCGGAGAGGTCTCAGTGGCACTAGCTTCTTCAGCCGAGGACAAGGTAATATGGTCATTATAAGAGCATTGGGAGCAACTTCAAGTCCAGATACGCATCCCACATGATGTATGGTTCTCATGTCGCCAGATACATCTATAATGAGCGTATGTTGTATTTGGGTGAAGAAGGTAGCAAAGAAGAATGGACAAAGCTCCTGAACCTAGACGTGTTTCATGCAGAGGTGCACAAAAGAAGATCAATCCATGTCGATTTTGTGCAGCTCTCTACAAACACGTGCAAGTCAGGCGTTCAAACCAAGTCTCTTTGCTAGTGGGACCTCGCCCCGGGAAAACAAAACCCCAAAATAGCCAATGATCTCCATACTACTGGACTGAGAGCCTTAGCCCAGTTTCGCTACAGACAAAAAGATGAAACCAGAGAGAAAAAAATGAATTGTATATTCTGCGACTTTCCAAAAAAGCAAAAAAAAAAAAAAAAAGGAGGATGGAAAGTGCCAGTTATCTGCCTCATTGGCCCT